TTGGATTACTTTAGCATGTTTTACAGCCTGAGAATTGGGTGAAATCCCCCTCCCTCCCTCCTGTAAGGAAATTAATTGTGATAGCAACTCTTTGCCACCCCAAGTTCTTCTGTGTGTAAATCTTTGGTTGAAGCTGTCAAACATGCATCCACTCAAATCCCAATCATTATTTTGCATGTTGGTGCAAAATATCACCTGGTTTAGTAGGTGGTGTTGCCTGGTGTTCTAGGACAAAGAAACCAGAAGGGAAATCCTTTGAAAATGAGATAATGAGACTACACTGCACCTATTATTACTGCATTTTCTACTAGCTTCCATTCAGGGAGGAAGAGAGTCTCAACTGTAAATGTAAAACTTCTTTACTGAGGTGATTTAGGATATATTCTTTCTATTTCTGTTTGCCTGGCTCTGGCTGATGCATTTCCTCCATAAGCAATCCATTTCAGATAGTGATGTTGCCTGTAAATGAATCTTTCATCATGTACAGTGAATTTTCTCTACTGTGCTGATTTCAAAAAATGATGTTATGCTAAAATGGTTTGCTCACAATCCTTCAGGCTAACAGGCAGGAATCTCTCAAATTCAAATGCAACCTTTAAAAAATTAAATGACCATGTTCTTTATCCTACAGTCAAGCTTGTTAGTTTTAAGTGTTCACCTCTTACTGAGTATTTTAGCTCAATATCTGGTGGTAGTTTATACCTTTAATAAAATAGTATTTGAGGATTTTTCCATATTTTACCTCATCTTAAGGGCTCTGTTACTTTCATGTTTTAACATATGTAATGCATTTATCCTAAATTCCATAACATTTTTATTTTGCATGGTAATTCTTCCTTTAAAAGAGATCACTTAATCTCCTGCCCACCAAAACATGATTCTAAGATAGGAGAAACTTCTCTTAAGGGCAGGCATTGAAGACCTGGCAAATTATTTCTCTAAACTGCTTTTTTGCTGAGCATCCTCAGGTTTGATCTGCTGAACAGGCATCCACATTGCATTAATGGTTGCGCTGAAGGGGTAAGCCGACGGCTCAATATATCTCCTCTGTTCTGCAGCCAAGACAAACACAATGGATTTACTTACCCCTTCTAACCAATCGCATGCACATATTAAATCTATTTCTAATCCATAACCAGTGCTGTGCGCTCTATGGCAAAACTTCCCAGGAGACGTAATGAAGTTTTTTTTAAAAAAAAATGACCTCCACACTACCTCTACACACATGCACACATACACACTCGTACAAAAAACCCTAACACTATTCTCTGTGAAGGATGACAGACAATGCCTGAAATAAATATTGCCTATTGTTTCCAATTATTCTAAGCATTCTAGCAGATGACTGGCAGAGGACCAGCATCCATAAGTTGCAATAAAAGTAAACATTGGTTTCAAAGCAGATGCTTAGCCTGTGATCATAGAGTCCCGTTACAATGGCATATAGAGACAGTGCAGGCAGTACCCTGATCCTTTTTGGAATTCACATACAATTCTAATATTTCCAGCTTCCAGATAACGTTTTTGTGCAAATGAAGAGCAGTCTAAAGGCATAAATTTAACATAATCCATTGATAACCAAGAGATTCTCGGTTGCTGCCTAACTGTACACAAGCATCCTCAGCAGATACATAATTCAAGACGTGCTGGCAACAAAAAAAAGATGTAAGCACTGAATTCTAGGTAGTCTCTAAATCAAAGCTTATTAAGCATCAGAGAAGATATCCAAAGAACCTTGAGTTGAAAAAAATCAACTAGTGATATTAAGCATGTGAAATATTTGGTGTTTGATCCAAAGCTTTTGGCTATATGCTTGCTTACCTTTTGCAAAATACACTGCGTCTTCCTTCTTTTGGACTCCCCAGACCGAGGGCTAAAAAGAGGTCTTGTTACTTCCAAATGCTTTTGTTCTTCTGCCCCTCTATCACATGGCTTGCCTTTTATATTTGCAACACACAAAAGTTAGGGCTGCTGTTTAAGCAA